CCCCCATTCCCTTCCCCTTTCGCTACCTTATCCCTTCCCCCGCCCCGCTGAAGCCGCCGGTTTCGAGCGGGAGTCATGCACACATTTCTTCACGAATATAGACAGTTTGTATCGACAGCTCGTATCGTATCTTATCGCTAGCATTGTAATACTTACGCGTAGTCCAGACCAGTAGCCAGCCTGCTCGCGCGAGGACCGAGCTCCTCGCGCTTTACTACATGTTTCTCTCCTCCTCCTCCGCCTCCCCTCTAACCGCCCATACTAATCCCGCAAATCCTCCCGTTGAATTCCATTAGTAGTAAAGTGTTCGGTAGACGCGTTCCGCCGATTAACGATGACTTACGATTAAGCCTCAACGCGATATCACAGTTCGTGGGGTTCCTTCGAGGATTTTTGTTCTCGAGAGGATCGATCGGTAAGGAAATCGAATTATATGAAATGTGTCTCTCATATTTGGCCTCTCGCGATCGAGCAAGGATCGAATCGGATCCCGATAAAGTGGTCGATATCGCGTGCATTTTCTCGGCGGAAACCCCGGACGCACGATCTCACGCATCCGAAACACGGAGTAAAAGGAAAAGGGAAAGACGAAGGGAGACGAGATAGAGGAACGGTTCATCACGCACGACCGTGAAAAACGTTGCGACACCCGCTACTCTGTTCCTCCGTTTTTTTCCTACGTTCGATAAAAGAAGCGTCCGTCGTACCTTGATTTTTGCCTACGCTGGAAGAATCGCGGACCTGCCGTTCGTATAGTCGCGGAAGAATCGATGTATATTGATCGAGAGGAGCGAAGACGAAAAGAAAAAAAAAAATATATAAATGAATATGTATTTGTTCCTGAAGAAAAAAAAAAAAATCTAATAAGAGTAGTGATATACCGTAAAAGGAAGAAGAAAAAAAACTAATATTACTATCGATAGTAAACGATAACGATATAATTTGATGGTACATACTTTCTTATAAGTAACATTATACACATTATTACGATTATATTGTAGAGTTGGTACGGTTCTTGAGGATGCCTTGCCTGTAAATGTAACACACGTTAAATGACAAAAAAAAATCTTATTACCTTGTAAATGTTTTACCAAATATAATCGATTATTCAACTTATACTTCGGCGCCTGTGGTCCTTTTAATTGTCCACCGTTCTCTCTCTTTCTCTCCCTCCCTCTCTCTCCCTTTTTCTTTCTCTTACTCCACTACTAACGTACCAAAACGTCCCCACCAAAATTTATGACCCGGTGAATTATCATTTCTCCTCTTCTTCTTCTTTTCTCTCTCTCTCTCTCTCTCTCTCTCTCTCTCACTCTTTCCTTCTCTGTCTTTTCTTTTTACCTCCTCTCCTTTTTTGTTTTTCAGATCGCGGTCCGTTGGCCTCACCGGAGTGATTAACGTCAACCGAAAGATCGCCGTAAACCCGCAGCCTGTCGCGATCATAAATATTCGGGCGCACGCATAATCGCATGCGGCGCCTTTAAACGCGACGAGCCCGATAATGTATTATACGCGCGTACGTATCGGACGAAATGGAAAGTCGAATAAACGCCGCGGCAAGATCACGATCTCGGGCGGATTGCGACAGAGCGTGAATCGACGCAACGCAATACGGTGAGAGTGCAAAAACTTATCCCGCCCGGCCGGCGTTCGGTCATCCTCTTCGAGAAACTACGCGGATATTCACCTCGTCTTCTGTCCGGCGAATAAAGGAACACAGCTACCGCGTCTCTGTATTTTCAATTCGACGCGATGAATAACGTCGTCACGTTGCGTTATGACACGGGCGTATCGTAGAAATGTGTGCGTATGTGTGTGTGTGTGTATATGGTTTTAATAATTGCCTCATTTTATTTCATTGTACAACGGAGAGTCTAATTACCGAAGGGCAGAGACAATAACAATAAATGATGGCTGAGGCTCATTTGTGATTTTTTTTTTTCGTTTAATTAATTGTGCATCAGAAGCCTAATTGCATTTATCGGGAAAATAATTCTGAATTATCGCGGGAATACTGGCTATTGATGAAAATAAGATTACATTGACATACCGTGGGAAACATTAATATTAGTAGTAATGATAACGACGACTCGATGGATAACTTTTTTCTCCCAATTAACGTCATATTACAGACAAAAATATTTTGCTGGCAAATAACAAATTTGTCAAGAATATTAATTACTATTTGCTGGATATACGGACAGCAAAATAATTTGGTTATGTCAACTAAATGTTTCGCTACAATAGCACAATTACTTTTTCCGTATAACAAATCTTTCTGTTATTCGCTTAGTAACTGAGAAATTTGCTGTGCCAGCAAGATATTTTTTCCGTGATGTTATTATGATCATTAGAAATAAAATACGAACGAATATGAATTAACGCATAAATCAATCGGAATTGTCGCGCGCAAATTTCCCATCAAATTCGGCTCTTCTTCTCGGCGGTCGCACGGAGAGAACAAGTTTTGCTGAAACAGCAAATTGTTTATTAATATATAATAACGACAGCAAAAAGATTTGCTACGCGAAAGAAATAATTTTGCTGTTTTAGCAAAACGTCGTTGCGACAGCGATGAAATTTCGCTGGCGCGACCAAATTATTATGCCGTTCGTATATCCAACAAATAGCAATGAATACTTTCAACCGATTTTTCTGTCATTATATTAACAAACAATTTGCTGTTCCGGCGACATTCGTTTCCTCCGTGCGACAAGATCCGCGATCTTGGATCGCCGGACGGCCGGTCGTTCGCCGGGGAATTACGCTCTCGGGAAATGGATCCTGACCAAAAGCTCGTCCTACTTCGCGACGCGAAGTCCCGCGTAAGGTGCGCGTCGCCGATCGATCCGCACACATACACACACACACACATTCTTTTTCTCTCTCTCCCACACGAGACAAGGGATATCGCGCGGGGGCTCGTTTCCTCGCCTCGGCGCGGAGTCGTAAAGCCGTTTCCTCCGCCGGACCCTCCGGAGTAACGTTTATCGGCCGGCAATGCATCACGGGCTTTACGAAGGCCTTTGCATTCGAATGGCCCGCGGGTTTCAGGCGAACGGTCGCGGTCTCCTCGCTGTAAGACGAGCAGCTCCGGCTGCACGTATGCGTACCGTGCGTGCGTACTTCGCGAGCGCGCCTTTCCCCGCGCGGCCCTTTTCACGCCGATTGCTTCGCCTCGCTCGCGGTGTCGTCTCTCTTTGTCTCGCCCGCGTATCCACCGGAGAAATTACATCACGCAGGAGAGAGCGCTTTCGGAATATTCATTGCATCTCTCTTCTATTTCATCTTATCCTATTCTATTCTGTTCCACATCCGCGACTTGCATCGCGCCTGCCTACACACGCCGCGCGCGATTGTATTATCATTTCTTTTCATTAATATATCGTTTCCCTCGCACCGTACAACACAGTCTCAAGCAGACTTCCTCGAGGTCGGTTTAGGGTTAACTATGGTTGAGCCATCGAACGCGTTCCCCCCCCCCGTCCGCGACGTCCTCGTAACGTCGCCTAAGTGGAACGTTCAAACCGCGACGGGCTCGTATAATTAAGCCGCTCGGGAACCGCTCGGCCACGCCGTGCGCGCGTCTTAAGATTCACGCACGATCGCGCGGCGTTACATTCGCGATGCCGCTCGTTATCGCGCGTACTCAAGTCTGAAGAGGCGGACCGTCGTCGTCGCGACCGGGGTCAGTGTGTTTTCTACGAGCCCGTGAAGAGCCGGTGCGAAAGAGGACATACGTGCGGCGTGTGCGTGCGAGATACGCGTGCACACGCACCGTCCAGATATAGAAACATATTCCACGCGATACGCGCGCGTACGCCCGGCGAAACGGCGTGTAACACACTCGTCGTCCTCGGTCGGTATCTACCGGGCGTGGTGCGCTCGAAAGAGAGAGAGAGAGAGACCATAACGGATGTCTTTGTAGCAATAATTCCTTTCTCACGCGCCGGCAGGATCTCTCAGCGAGATCGTCTCCGCCGGGGTAGGACGGTCCGGAATGATAACTGCGAGAGCGTGTCGTCCTGTTGGCCGACTCTCGAGGCGAACGACGCGGCTTGCCGAGCGCGAAGGATACAGCCTTGCCGCGCGTACCGGCTGAAAGATGGCGAATGGGAGAGAGGGAAAGTATGTATACACGCGGGAATGTTTTCGGAAAAATTACATTATACATTCGTGTTACCGCCGCGAATATTCTGCATTTCTCCCGAATATTATCTTCCCGGAGGAAAATGTTTTATATATATATTATATATTTCATGCAATATTGTTTATATAATTGTAAGAAAATATTGCTGTTATATATTATTGAATATATTGTATATTATAGCGATAGTATACTTTATGGGGGAGATACTGTTCGGGGGAAACGTGCAGAATATGCGTGGGGCGGTAATACGAATCGATAGGAAAG